TCGTGTTTTGGCTTGCAAATGACCTCTTTATTTATAGGCAAAAGGTTTGACATCTTGAAGTAACCAGAATCTTGAGATAACCAGTTATGATTTTGAAGCTTGGTTTTGAAGTAACTTGCAAAGTCATGGTTCCAAAGCAATGTAGGGTGGTCTATAGGCTTAGAGATGTTGCTTATGAGCAGTCATGTTGAGTGTGATCAGAAGAAATGGGTTAGAGGCTCAAGGAGTGGACATTTTGATTAAAGTGATCTTTATACAAATGGATATGGAGCTTTTTGAAATTCCATCCAAAAATGGTATGATCAAGTGGATAAAGCTTCAAATCCTTATGTAATGCACCATAATTTCGTGTAAATCTCTGATTATGTAGAGATTTAGAAGCAACATGGCCTGAAAAGTGAGATTGCATGGTAACGTTATGAGATTTGCTCTTGAGTTCTTCACAAAATGACTTGAAATTCAAGCATGAAATGCCTAACTTCATCTCTTTGATTCTCCTTGCTCAAGCATGAGAAAATTTGTGTTCTTGAACATTTTGGAAAGCTTGAAACATTGTCTACAACTTTCATTTTTACCACTTTGTCTAAATCAAATGGGAACTTGGTGGAAATTGGCCAAGAAGTTGGGATAAAAAACTGATCAAAACTTGTTGAAAATTTTTCTAAGTGTTGGATAAAAAAACATCATAACTTCATGGGATTATATCTCTCAAATTAAGAACTTTTTGAGGATCATGCCACATTAAGAAAGTTGTATAATTTATCAATCCCTACAACTTTCATGTTGAAAGTTTTCCTTGAATCAACTTGTATCTTGAGGAAACTTGCTTGTGAAGTTAGGGTTTTTTAGGTACAAAACACTTGAATTTTTTCTAAGTGTTTGAAAATCTTGACTTTTGACTTTTGTTGACCTTCTTGATTCACGATGACAAAGTTTGATATTTTTGAATGTTTCGATGATTCTTTATTTTTGAATTCCATTGTTGACCAAAAAGTCAAAGTTTAACTTTTGTGTGACTGTTGACTTTTCATCAATTGATTCAATTCTTCAACTATCAATCACTTGTATCTTTGGAAATGTCTTGAGCCATGTAATTAGGTCAATATGTTGTATTTGAGCTCTTGAGATCATGCTTCAAGCCATCAGGTTATGCACTAGGACAAAAGTCAATGATCAGTCATCCTTAGTCAAAACCCTAATTTGGCAATTTTTTGACCTTTGATGATTTGATGGCTTCCCTTGAGAAATCATGATCAACCCTTGATCAAATGATGAATATCACCTCAAAATGTTCATGTTGACCAAAAATCTTGAAGTTTGAGTGCATGTTGATCATAGTTGACTTTTTGTCCAATACAGTTGATTTTCAGTCATCTGAGCAATTGACTGAGCAAACTTATGATGCAAGACTTGAAACTTGACATAAGCATTATTGAGGACCTATGATGAACCATGAAAGTCATTTGATACCCTTGCAACCCAATCTTCCTTGTGAAGCACAAAACTGTAATTGAAGACCCTTGCTTAGGAGGAGGTTTGACCAGTAAACTCTAGAGTAGTTTTGAGCAAATGGGGACCTCATGAGAATGTTTTAAAGAAAAATGGGAGGAAAATTTTTGGGGTACAACACAAGGCATACGCCTTCTACATTTGCCAATATGGCCATCACATCATTATAATCATGAATATAAATAAGTAGTTCATATAAAGTCTTATGGTTTAACCCCAATTTCCATTATTACCAACCTTCCTATACTTACCTAAGTCATACTAGTCAGTAAGAATCAAGAGAAACTGCATTGCGCAACAAAACAAGAAAGAAATTGCGAAAACAAGAATTTCAGTACCTTAGCTTGCCCATACGTGTATCATACGCGTTTGGTTTATCCCTCACCCATCTCATATGTGTATCATACGCGTTCTGCTTGAGCGCCCAGGTCTCATACGCGTACCATACGCGTTTGACTAAAGAAATTGTTCTTCTCAAAATCCTCCCAAACTTCCCATACGCGTATGACCATCCCATACACGTTTGGCCTCCCTTTCATACGCGTATCATACGTGTACCAAAAGAAGACCGTGTTGGCACTGGGGACAAGGTGCGTTCCATACGCGGATGGCCCCTGGGCACGCCTTCCATACGTGTATCATATGAGTATGACCAGTCTGGTACTTCAATTTTTCTACTATCGCACCAGAATAATTTCTACTCATTTTGAGCACTTTCAACATCCTATTTTAGGTCCCAAAGAGTGTTTTTACACATAATAATTCACAGGCTTCTTCTAATTTCGCCATTCTACAATTCTACAACAATTTCTACCTCTAATTCTTTAATTTTCGTCACATTCTTAGATCTACAATTTTCCAAATATGTGAATTCATGAACAACACAACAACAAAAAATCAGCAATAGCAACACATTCATATCATCATCGGGTTTACGAGTTTAACACAAAATCACATAGAAACAACATAAATCAACAAGGAAGACATTCATCAAATTGTTCATAAAGACCTAAAGAGGGAAATGAACCTTCATTACACTCTCATGCTAATATCACCATTTAGAGAACTCATTCACCCCTTACCTTAATTTGCAGTCTTAATCCTTCAACAAGGAGAAATCTCTCTTGCCCTAGTTCTTTCTCTTCTCTGTTTCTACGTGACAACAAATCTTCTCAATTGTTCTAACCCTCTTCTAATTATATTTTATTATTACTAATACTAATACTAATAATAATAATAATAATAATAATAATAATAATAATATTAATAATAACTATAATATTAATAATAATAGTATTTTCTTTAATTTTCTATTATTATCAATATTTTACCATATGTCAAACTTATCCTAATTATTTAATTAAGACTAAGCTCCCATATACCCTTAGTTATGTCAACATAATGTGAATATTTAAATGGAGCGTTACAATACAAATTTCAATCTTATAACTATTAGTATTTTATTTCTATATTTTTAACTTTAAAAAGTTTGTGAAAAACTCAAACTAATATTTGAGTTGAATCAATTCTTAACAAGTCAAGCCGAGTTGAGGCAAGGTTGACTCGACTCGACTCATTTCCATCATAACTAACACACTTTTTTTTTGAATCACCATCAACAACAACACAAGAATACTCTAAAAAAAATATTTTCAATGAACATTTTGAATATGCATATCTGAAATAATTCAATATTTCAATTTTTTATTTATTTTATTTTAATTTCATTTAAAAAGATATTTATTTATAATATGGTTATAATATAATTAAATTGACTTATTATTAATAAAGAATAACTTAAATTTATAATTGAAAAATTAAATATTAAAGTAAAGTCATGATATGAAATTAAACAATAAATATAATAATTAATTTTTTAATTATAATAGTGAAGTTTAATTGTCTTTTAATTTTTTATTTTAAATTATGAATATTTTTTCATAAAAAAATATAAGAAATATTTCTTAATTGTAACTTTAGAAGTTAAATTTAATTTAGATGACATTTTTTTATTATAGAATTGATAAAGAATTATTATATTATAATTAAAAATTTTATTATATTAAAAAATATTTATATTATAATCAAAAGTTGAATGTTATTAATAACTAATAATATCAAAATAGAACGTTTAATATTACATGATTAGATTCTTATAAAAAAATATGTATAATTTATAAATTATAGAAATCATTTATATTAAATATTTATATATCACATAAAAATAAATGAGGTTATTTCGAATATATATATATATATATATATATATATATATATATATATATATATATATATATATATATATATATATATATATATATATATATATATATATATATATATATATATATATATATATATATATATATATATATATATATATATATATATATATATATATATATATATATATATATATATATATATATATATATATATATATATATATATATATATATATATTCACTAAAAACGAAATATTAAATTACTTCGAACATGTATATTGGAAAACACCTTAAAAATGAAATATTAGATTATTTCGGATATCTATATCCGAAAACATTTTGAAAAAATATTAAATTATTTTATATATGCATATCCAAAAACACCTTTAAAAAATTAAAATTTAATGAGTTCAAATATACAATTTTAAATTTTCGTGAGATATATGGAAAAAAAAAATAGATATAGAAATAAATTCACTTCAATTTGGCCATGAACAAAAATTGAATTTGTAATTGTTTTTTTTCTTTTTCCTATTAATATTTGAATGTTTGTTGGGAATATTGATGACCCTTTTTCTTATAGGCGAAACTACCAATATACACCTACTTAAGTAAAAAACAAGAACCCCTATCCTACAACCCTAATCCAGCGGCTAAAACTCTCCTTGTCTCTTGCGTCTCCTCTTCCTTGATCCGCCCTCACTCCTCACCGTATTTGGATCAATAAATATTATTCATTCTTCACTCTGTAACTTATTTTCTTCTCTAAACATCAAATTATTAGTATTAACTTTCAAATTCCGATTCCCATTTTTATTATTTTTATATTCAATTTTTATTATGCTTTATACATTTTTCCTAGAAATGAATTAGAGTAGTGTTGCTCTCATGAATTATCATTTACTCTTTTTTTCATTCCTTTGCGGTTCTGTGCATATTTACTTTTCCTCGTAGAAATAAGGATGATGCACAGTCAGTGTGACACACAGATACCAAACAGGACACTGACATATTGATACTGATAATAATTTGAGTTGTGTTTCCATTTTCATAATGTACTAGTATTTTGTAAGAAGAATTGGAGTTTCTTAATATCTTCATATATGAGTATTGATGAGTATTGCTGTTATCAATTTCTATTTACATATATAAAAGTGAACATTTGAATTTCATTTTTACATCAATCTGTTACTTGTGGACAGGATCTATTCTGCAAAGTTACATCTTTTTCTCGTGGTTTGTTGATATCGCACTTTGTTATCTTACATGGAATCTCGATTAGTTGATGGAAATGGCGGGATGGAAGATTTCGGGGATGTTGGTTTGGTTATGTCTGAAGATCAGATACATCGAGAAACATATGAAGGTTTGCAACTAGAGATTATTATGAAATTCTTAGTGATTAAAGCTAATGGATCTTTTAACTTTAACTTTGGCTTGGTCTCTACATGATTATAACTTTTGACACAAAATGTTTCAAGCTTAGTAAACCTGAGATCTTGCAGTTAACTTGAAATATTGGTATTTACTTATGGTAAGCCTCTGGAAAAAAAGTGTGTCTGTGTCGATACAGACACTGAAACTTTTGCAGCCGTGTCAGTGTCAATGTCGTGTTCGGGGTATCCGTGCTTCGTAGCCTCAAACTTAGTTCTAACATTTTAACTAAAAGAAGTCTCAAACAATGCTAAGAAGAGTATCATATATTCATGGAAGTCTACCGATACTTGGGGTGACAGAAATTGAAAAAGCCCGTAGAAATCTGCTTTATAGTGGAAGTTGGAGTTATGATTTTTATCTTAGTACATGCTACTTAATTTCTCTGCTGTGGAGTTGTATTTGTTTTGTTTATATATTCATAATATGCCTGAATTTGATAGTTATTCAACTTCAACATCAAAGCTTAATCCTACAACAGACAATTCCTCATAAAAGTCATAAATAATGCATGTTATAATTTCTAGGGAGAAATATCATCTAAAGCTTTCTAATTACTATAGACTTCTTGATTTCTTAGCTTCTCTGCATATTCTTTATATCAACTCAAACATCATCTCATGTACAAGTTATTTTTACACAACTTTTTGATGGTTAATAAATCATTTTGTGACAGTGGAACCAAATGATGGGTGTAGATTAATAGAAAGTTATTCCGGGAGAGAATTGGGCATCTCTTGTCATGACCTTTCTATACAGGAACCATACGAAGGCATGGAATTCATATCCGAAGATGCTGCTAAAATGTTTTACGATGAATATGCCCGACATGTAGGATTTGTTATGCGCGTGATGTCTTGTCGACGCTCAGAAAGAGATGGTAGGATTCTTGCCCGCAGGCTTGGATGTAATAAGGAGGGTCATTGTGTTAGCATACGAGGGAAACTTGGGCCAGTTCGTAAACCAAGGGCCAGCACAAGAGAAGGTTGTAAGGCAATGATTCATATCAAGTATGATAAGTCCGGAAAATGGGTGATAACAAAGTTTGTGAAAGATCATAATCATCCATTAGTAGTCTCTCCACGCGAAGCGCGCCAAACAATGGTAGGTTCATAATTCTTTTTTTACTGTGTATTCCATCTTTTTGGTTTTTGCTAACATTTCTTTGATTGCTTTCTGCTTTGTTTCTGTTTTAGGATGAGAAGGATAAGAAAATTCAGGAACTTACAACAGAGCTTCGGATGAAAAAACGGTTGTGTGTAACATATCAAGAACAATTAACTTCTTTTATGAAAATTGTCGAAGAACATAGTGACAAGCTGTCGACAAGAATTCATCAGATACTTGATAATCTTAAAGAATATGAATCCAGATAAGAGCTTTTGCATCAGACATAGCCCTGCGTTATGTGCGGGTGTTCTTAAGCCACCATTTAATAGTGTGTGATAATATAACTAAGCTTTAGGAATGGGATTTTTTCTTCTAAACTGTATACATGCATCATAGCATTGGTTAATGTGTCTATAATTGATTGTATTTAGCTCCCTCTAAAAATATTTGCAATGGTGAATTTTTTTGACAACCGCAAACTGCCAACTTGTGAAGGATGACAGCACCGTGACATTTTAAGTCGGTCGGATATCATGGCTTAAAATGGCGGGTTTTGGCTGCAGCCATGATCCGCCCCTCTCAATTGAAGAGATATACACAAACACAACACTTACTTGGATCAGAATGGATCAACATAGCAGTTCCTCCAAAGTTGCAAGGACCACCGTTTCTCTTATGTTTCTGCCAGTAACTATTTCTTTTTTTTGAAATAATGGATTATATATAACCAAAAAACAGATATGTACACAGTGGTCCATAGGGTCCAACTCAAGTCACCAAAACACCAAAACAAACTATTAGTAATTGGGCGACATGTCTTCTTAGCTTTGGTTTTCTCCAAATTCCGTGAACAATTCTATCTAAAATGAGCTTATCAATATCTATAGTATTCCTATCTTTTATCCTATACACCCTCGCAATCCTGTACATCCAGTATGCGTAAACGACTCCAGCATACACAGTCTTCAAGATTTGCATTCGTCAGCTCTTCTTTTTACTCATTTGTATCATCCATTCAATCTCTTGTCTCCAAATTCTGTGAACAATTCTATCTAAAATGAGCTTATCAATATCTATAGTATTCCTATCTTTTATCCTATACACCCTCGCAATCCTGTACATCCAGTATGCGTAAACGACTCCAGCATACACAGTCTTCAAGATTTGCATTCGTCAGCTCTTATTTTTACTCATTTGTATCATCCATTCAATCTCTTGGCAAGAGATTGAATGGATGATACAAATGAGTAAAAAGAAGAGCTGACGAATGCAAATCTTGAAGACTGTGTATGCTGGAGTCGTTTACGCATACTGGATGTACAGGATTGCGAGGGTGTATAGGATAAAAGATAGGAATATTATAGATATTGATAAGCTCATTTTAGATAGAATAATCTCTTGGTCAAATCTTGTTCATAGCATCACATTCAAATAACAGATGTTGTATGCATTCCTTGTCATGGCAGAACATACAATTCTCATCATTTAACACCCTAAATTTAACTAGTCTGTTTTTAGTAGCCAGTATTTTATGACAAGCTATCCACAATGTAAACAGAGCACATAACCTGACTTCATTCTCGTAAAAAATCTTTCTCCATGGGACCTGCCGACTCTGTCTCATAAGCCCATGATAGATTTTTTTGCATTTTAAATTTACTCCTGCGAGTCAGATCATGCCACTGCTTCATGTGTTGTACAACATGCCTTTGTTTAAGAACCACCTTCAGAATCCATGAGCATGAAGAGCCAATATCAGCATCCATAATCTCCTTCCCTTTGGTGTAATAGGTGTGAGTGAACCCATCTCACCCAAAGGGTGTCAGGTTTCCTGCATAAATTCCACAACAGTTTTTTATCAAACATGCTCTATTCCAAACCTCAAAGTCAATCACATTTAATCCTCATTGGCTTTTAGGTTCACATATTTTACTCCAAGAGACGGGCTTTTCTGCTAATACTACATTTCCATGTCCACAAGAATGTCCTATAAAGAGCCTTAATTCTTTTAGTAACACCTTTGGGCAGAGGAATACATTGAAGCCAATAATTAGCATTTCCAAACAGAACACTGTTAATAAGTTGCATCCTACCAGCATAGCTTAACATATGTGTTGTCCAATAATTAATTCTAGCCCCTATTTTTTCCACAAGGTTGATGCAATGGTTATTGGTGAGTTTCTTGCTAGTTAGGGGAATCCCCAAGTACCTAAAGGGTAACTCACCACCTGCAAAACCAGTCAAATCAGCAAATCATCATCAAAACTAACATCCATAATTTGTAAGTTCTCACACTTCCCATGAAAGTTGAAATTTGGAAACATGTGAAGGTCAGCCATCTTCCTATGCAAATACTCCATCCTTATGACAAAGAGTAAGTGGGAAATTAGATCCCCTTGCATTTGTCCTCTTTGAGCTTACATCACCTAAGTATATGCCCCATTGATGTTAAATTGGTAGCTCACAATGGTCACAACATTCATAACCCACCCAATAAATTATCTAGGGAATCTTATCTCAGCCATAATCACTTTCAGTGTCTGCCAATCAACAATATCATATGCCTTTTGTATGTATAACTGAAGCATACATTTGAGTCTACATCCCTTCCCATTGCATCCTTTGAGGAGCTCACAGGCCAGAAGAATATGCTCATGGATATTCTGCCCAGGAACAAAGGCAGCCTGACTCCTGCTGATAATACTAGACAGCACCCTGCTCATTCTATTAGCTATAATTTTAGAGATAATTTTTGTGATACGGTGGGAGAACTGACTTTTAAATTTTGCATTTTATCGCAAATGTTGCGGATAGCAAGAGTCGCAACCGACTTTTCTTTTATCTAATAAAGGAAAGGGTGAAAAGAATAGGAAATACCTTTTGAGAATTTTCTGAGTAAGGGGGTAGGTTATGAAAAAGGAAGGTGTTAGCACCCTTTTCATCCGTAGTTACCTACAGGCTCTTAATCGCTAGCTCACTTTGAAAACGCTTTTTACTTGTGTATGTTTGAAAATATTTTGAAAACGTCTAAGTGCAGCAATTTCGTAATGATTCTCCTATCGTTGAGAATGTATACAAAATGTTTGTTTTGAAAATATTTTTTGAAAGGAAGTGTTGTTTTTGAAAGTGTTTTTGAAAATGCCAATGTAAGACAATTTGCTTTATAATCATCCTTTTATCAGTCCTCAAGAGTGTTTATACAACGTTTTGAAAGTAGTTGTTTTAAAAGTGTGAGGTGTGGAAATTGTTTTAGTTTGTGAGCAAACGACTACGAGCGTTCTACCTACTCAAAAAGTCTTTGTTCTTTTCCTCCTCCTTTAGATAATGCTATCCTACCATTAGTTAGAAGAAAGTCATATCATTGGATGTGAGGGGCAGGCGTGGGTCATCGTACAATCATAGAAGATAACTTGTAAGACGCTTTAGCAATTGTCGTAAGGGACTAAGATCGTTTACCGAAGGCAGCATCGAAGGGTCATCGAGAGACTACAATATTTTGACTGAGGGTCTTTGCTAAAGCATCCCACGTTCGAGGGACATGACTGTTTTTTATCTAAGGCAACAAGTGAGGGTCACCCTAGAGGTGCGCATGTGCAAAGTGTTTTGATTTAAGTTAATTTATCTTGGATTTATGGTTATCTAGGTTTTGTTTTAGATCTTGTCATACAATCCTATTAAACTAACAAAATTAAGGAAAACGGTAAATCATGGAAATTAAATGTCCTACGCTATCACAACGGTTCAGGAATGGGGGGTACGATTTTATGAATGAGGAGGAAAAGCAAAGTAAACCCTATTTTATCTATTACATCAATAGTTGCAGCCTATACAATTGATTTAAGAATGTAAATAAGAAATAAGGGAAAATAAATTGGAATGTTCTTGTGTTCTTTGTGAAAAATGGTTTGAGTGGGATGTTTGAAACAAGTGTATGCATCACAATCAAGATGAAAGTCATGGAGCATAGCTTTTGATTTTTTTTACATGTTTCATGATTTAATGTGAATTTGGTTGAGAAAAATCCTAAGAAGACTCGAGCTATCATGAAATATTTACTCAAGTGTCAAGATATTTCATGAGAATCAAGACTTACCATGGTAAAATCAAGCTTTGTGAGAAATGTTGAAAATTTGACCAAAAGATCATCAAAAATCTCTTTGAAAACCCTAAAAAAAGTAATATCTTGATTTAATTGAAAAATAAAAAAAAAATTTATGATATTTTTTATAATTCATAAAATAGAGTAGATAAATAGGGAGCGTGTAAAAAATCATCTTAAAAGGAGAAGTTTTGATTGGTTAAAAAATTGGTTGAAGTTTAATATAAAACCAAAGAAAACAAGTGATAAAAAATCAAGTTTGCTTCCACAAAGGCTTGAACTCAGGACCTTAGGATCACATTTCCAAAATCTTACCACCAGGCCACGCGCATGCATTGTTAATGGAGTGTCTTTGTGAAAATATATGTGAAACATGCTTCTAAAATCACAAAAAAATCAAAATAAATCGCAAAATGGCAAAAGGGGGTTCACTATGGTTCAAACCCTAGCCCTTGTAGTGAAAGTGACATAAAATGTGCACTGCTTGCCACTGGGGTGGCTGCTACATCCGGTCATAAAACAGTTTCAGCTAAATATATTATAAACGTTGTTTTAAAAAATGAAGAAGTGGCACCATGGCCATCACCTTCTTCGCCGAAACAAAAACAACAACATCCATGGCTTGATCTTTGTAACTTACTCATTTCTTAACCAAACACAAAAGTATAAACATGAAACTTGCTCAGAATTTCCTTACGAATTCAATGGTATAATTCTCAAGAGCTAATAATCAAAGATAACCACGAATTTCATCTAGTACCAAAATAAAACCCTAACAATTTAGAATCAAAATTCTCATCGCACAGTCAATTTAAATGAGAACTAAGGCCATGATTATCTTTGTGGAGATGATATATATTTTTTCTCTTTTGAAATCGAAAGCAAATGATGTATGGGTAAGGATATTACAGTTTGAGAAAACTTACCTCTTGATGAAAAATCCAATGCCTTCTACATGACCTCCAGAGATGAAATGATGATTTAGTGAGCTTGCTTGGACCCTGAGAAAGTTGTTTGGATACTCACTTGGTGCTGAGAACCTCTGGATACCTCTGACCAAGTCAATTTGCAAGTATGAAAAGTGAAAATGGTGGATGATGAAGATGATGTTACAGTGATGAAACAAGTGTTTAAATGAGTTATATATAATGTATGTGAAGTTTATAAATGGTTACTTTGCACATATAT